GGATTTGTCCCAAGGGGATATCCCTGGGACATCTCTGGGATGTGCTAGTTCTTCAAGAAAGGGACATCCTTGGCATGTCATTGGGCCCAGACATGTTGATTTCCCTAAGATGTCCCTACTCGTTGTCACTGGGACATCGCACTTGTCCCAAGGGGATATCTCTGGAATATCTTTGGGATATACCTGTGCTGTGTGGGATGCGACTATACTCGTGCTTGAGTTTCTGAGTCAAGCGAATCATTCCACTCTTCTACCGTTTCTTTCAGGGGATGAGCGAGAAGAAGCTTCAACTTTTTCCCTGCTGTTGAGAATAAACTTGCTTGCGACAATCCAGTTTTTTCTAAGAGGAAGAAAGGGAAGGAGAAGGTCAACTAGCTGACATTTTAGCTTTGAAGTTACCTGTCAAACTTGCCTACAAACTCCCCCAATTCACAGCGCCTCGACTACATGAGCATTATTGAAAAGCATTCACAATGATGCACGATCGTTGCGGTCGACTCACATGAAGCTTAGCGAGGCCCCTCTCTTCCCAAATCCTTTAGAAACCGGCATTTCTGGCAGAGGTAGAGTTCTCTACCATTCTGGCCAAAAAAAGATGGAAATACCATCACGCTTCCTTACTTAACGAGATCTACGTGTGCCCTTGCATTAGAAGCAATCATTCTGCCTTTGAATGAATGATGTAAAATTCAATGTATGTGGTTCTCGGCTGACGAACAGTGATTCTCGATTGACTGGGGCGGAAGCGATAACTTAATTCCTATTTCAGTGACTGATTTAGCCAGGGGCAATTGTTTTGAGAGGGTAGATCTCGCTCAAGTTGCATGACATGTGGCGCGATTCGGAAGGGGATTCAGTGATTTTCGATTGATTGCACCCTCCCCCCCTCTGAACAGCACCGCTAGTCATCCAACTGAGCGACGTTTGCTGTCTCAATGTAATTGCCCAAGACTAAATCAGCGAATGAAGAGGAAATTAAGTCATTCCTGCTTCCGCCGCATTTGGGAGATGCAATCAATCGAAAACCATTGTATAAACCAAATGTACGATTTGCATCTAAAAATTTTAAGGAAATGAATATTTCCTTAATATTCATTTCCTGTGTATGCATCAGCGCGATGCATACACATCGGAGGATTATCTTTAACAGTTGAGAAAGTGAGTGAGAACGATGTTCCCACAATCTTTTTAAGCAAGAAGTATGGAAACGGTGTTCCTATACTCCTTAGAAAAAAAAATTATTGCCGTAATGGGATCTTGCAATTGATGGCTACAAGGGGTTCAACGCATTATCCCTCGTTCGTACCATTCCCATTCCTCTACAGGGCGACTTTTGTCGCTGATCCTCAGCAGTATATTCTTCAGTGCCATTTCATGATATTTTTGGATGCATAATACATTAAATTCTACACTGCAAACGAGAGTCCTGGGTGCTGCCATGTTGTAAAAGAGCATCACACAATATTACATATCAGCATAATTGGCCATTTTCATTTTTGCACAAATTATAGAGAAAAAATATTACATCGATTATGCGATCATACAATTCCCCCCCCCCCCTCAAAAAATAAATTAATAATAATAATGTATACACTCTTAAATGTTTCCTGTCACAGAATGAAAGCCAACACTGCATAACAAATATCGAACGCTGAATAATTCATACTGGCCAGCATTATTCTGTTTACAAATTCACCTTTTAATACTCGACTATCTGTGGCCAGGCTAATTACCAAACCTGTTATAGGAGGCACTTCTACATTTCAATACTGCTCACTCATTATGCACGAAAGCGTAGACGTGGAGCATAAATTTTCACTTTGGTGATTCTGGCATCGTAGTGATGATTTATCTTTTTTCCATCTTCAATCTTTTCATCTTTTTCGGCAGAGAGAAATAAAAAAGAAGGTTTTGAAACCTACTCATAAAATTCTAAATGTCGTGCTATTGCACAGAATTTCTCTCCTATTTCGTTTGAGCTCTATGTGCATGAAATAATTGTGCATTCTGCACTCTCTCAGCGACAAATTGAGGAAGGTGATAAGTTTTCGCCACAGCATGTTTCAACTTAGGTATGCTCTTAGCAAATTGTCGCGATTCGAAGTTTTACAGAGAAGTTGCATTCGAATGTTGTCTCTACCTTTCAATCCAAACCAGTACTGAATATGTACATGAATTCTCGGAAACGAAGAATCGGATCTCATTTTAGATATGCTGAACGCAAACGGAGGGCCCAAAGGGCAAGCTCCCAAGATTTTATATTGGAGCACAGTAGCATGCCCAGAAAATCTCAATAAATTCATGACATGTGACATGTGAAAAAGTAGTAACCTACACTGCATTTATGGTCAAATGAAATTTTTTTTATGAGAATCAATAACCTGTAAAACGTATCCCAAGGGGAGGGGTTATGACCCCAACCCCCTCCTTCCCCTTGCCCTTGGGCACGCCACTGTTGGAGCAATATAACCAAATCATTTCAGGCACGTACTAAAGCAGGTCAGTATGGGAGATTAGATTAAGATTTCAAATCTTGAAACCATGAAGTGAAATAATGACATGACATCGAGGAACAGGAGCGGAGCTCAGGTATTATTTTGAGCTCCGGCTCGAATTAAATACTGAATTGTCGACATGTTATCAATGTTGATAACGGATACTGCAATAAAAGTTATCTGAGCGACATTAGGACTATAACGTGAAGAGTGCCATACGAATGGTGAAACACAGGCCAATTTGCAACATCGTGAAACATTGGCAGCATTCAGGGAAGGTTGTGTCATCGTGGTGCGCTAGCAGTTTTTAAGGTCGGGACAGAAAGGCAACCTCTGCGTGCGCCTGACCGTGAAACCCGAGTTCTATGCCCGTTCTTCAAGGTTCCTGTAGGGATGTTGGGAGGCACTTTCGCCCATTATGAGGCCCCGTGCCAATGTCCGTGTCTATGTCATGTATTCATGTATAATGAGATAGGCCTACCCCTCTTTCTGTTATATATTTTTGTGGTTGCATATCCTCTGTATAGTTGCTTACTGCTACTTTGCTCTCTTTTCTTGTTTTGTCCATGACAGCATATAATCTCTTCTTAAAGCTAGTCACGGAAGGGGCAGCCACCACATCATTTAAGCATTTCGCTCATTTACAGTTTTTCCTACTTGAGTCAGACTTTTCTCTCACTTAATTCGGATACTAATGCATGAGGAACGCCCCATACATTGGAGCATGAGGCAATTGAAAGGTTGTCTGACTCTAGTGAGAGAGAAAAAAACCTGAACTACCCAGACAAGTGAAGACGCCACTTCACAACCTGAGCCTCATTTGAGGTTTACGCAACTTGAACCGGTTTACCTGTACTGTCGTTGAGCCTGTCAATTGTCAGCATTATATTTAAGGACACCACAACAGGTACAATGCCGTGTTTGCGCGGACACGTATTAGGTTTTTCTTAGCTCCTTTGGACCTACTGAGGTCCATGGAGTGCGCCATCTAGATAGATGAAAAGACATTAGGCACAATTGTGGTGCTTTGTGAGGACTTTAGATTTACCATGCTTCCTGGTGGGCTTTACCCCTCCCCCTTCCCTGGCGCTATTGTCAACGGTGCTGGAAAGACACCTAGTAATTGAACCATCACTAATTGCGAAGAGGTACACCGATGAGTGAAGCCGATGGAGCGACATCCCTCCCAGAGTGAAGGAACTGTTAATGCACAACTCGACAGTAGACCCTACGCATGCAGTAAAGCACGAAGCACGTGGAGACGGTGGCAAAAGTAAACCTGGAAACGCTGAAGGTTCTTTATTTCCCCTTGGATATTAATAATTTATGGAGATCGTCTTGACAATACTAGACACACGGTATTAGGTAGCAGAAAGTCTTGGAATCTGCTAGACAAGACGAATGAAGTGCACAGCAAGTAAGAGATAAGAAGGCATGAGTGGTTAGTTTTTCGTGAGTTTTGTTCAATTCATAGCAAGAAGGCGAAAGGACCGAACAAACGGGCTGAAGGTTGAAGGTTTCGTTTGTGTTGTCAAAAGGTATTTCTTCCCATATTAGCGTGTCCAATCGAGGTCGAGCGCTTTTTAAAAATAGGTAAGGCCTTTCAATTGGAGATCGGATCAGCTCAATCAACTGTCTGGATACTTGTAACCAGCAAAACTGTTCTTTTATTTTTTTATGCTCGACAGCTGTCATCTTTAGCTTTCGCAACAGGTAGGCCTACTAGAGGTTTCCCGAAACTCATGCAGTAAAAGGTGTGTAAGCACAGATTGTTTTCCGCATTGGCCGAATTATCTGACGTATCCTTAGACTGAAGCTACAGATAGGTTTCAGTGCCTGCCTGAAAATTGCGTTTAGAAAAATATAAGCAGTCATGGTCCACCAGGAAGCAGAAGGAATAAGCCTCTCATTAGTCCTATTATGTACTTGGACCTTTTCAGTCGAAATGAACAAAAATAGTGAGGGGGCAGCCAGGGGTCAACTAGGAAAACGCTTGATAAATGAACCCAAATCAAAAGGCATTGGCCTGCCAACGCTCTCATAGAAGCAGGAAGCAGTAGGGACAAATAAGATGAGAATGGTAGCAATACAACTCTGGATATAGCCATGTTCATATCAGTCCTTGATTTTCTAGGCCTGTGGAAAGTGGTCCTTGACCCATTAGCAGCCAGTTGAAATAATTATTCCTCCTTCTTAAAATAGTCATCCTTTTCTAAGCCTATCTAGGTTTATGTATGCATCTAGGATCTAGGTTTATGTATGCAGAGATAGCAATGCTTTCATCAGTAGAAAGCATGAAATTATGACTGACTCATGTTCTCTTGGTTTCACCAGAGCAGATTCAATAGTAGTTCCATGTTAACCATTGGAAGTGATGTGAAGTCATGAAATTACTGCATTGCTGTGGCATAATCAGAGCTTTCAATTGTCCTGAGAGCACTATTGAAAATAAGCCTATCCTATTTGAGTGCTTTCCTTATTAGAGCCAGCTGCATCTCATATGTCCCATTTCTCTCACATTTGAAAAGAAGTGTACAATGAGCTCTGAATCAGGAGAAAAGGAGACGCTGAACAAATTGGGTGTACATGTGCCACCTGTCCCAGCCAAATGTCTCCCAGGACCAGTTCATCATCATAATCGCAAAGCTATTGACTGGTGGGTAAAGTCTTCATATTCTTGATGTATGTGCTAAATGTAGATGCAGTCTCACAAGAGCTTCTATTTGGGAACCAAGCATGCATAAAATAGACAAAATTATATGAAGTGTGCAGACTGGAGACTAATGAAAATAGCATAAGTTTATGTTTAAGAAAGCCTAAAGGTGATTTAATTTTGTACTCAGTACTCTTAATTTTATACTCTTTACAGCAATTGAGTAGCAGTACTTCAGCTTTTGCACATGGCCTCCCTAGCTTGCTCTTGAATGCAAGATTTGAAATTGCCTCAAGGAGACTAGAAGTTTCAATATCTGATAATTTAACTGGTAACCAACAATCTATATGGTGAACCAGCCCTTTACTGAAATTTAAGAAAACTCCCATTACATGAGAAAATTCTCTCCAAAAACTTGTGTCAGAAAAGATATCCCCTTTCCAGAGGAGCCTTTGAGACCATAAGAATGAGACATGAGCCAGGAAGTAATAGGATATTCTTTTTAAAAAGAGGGGATGGGCCACATTGAGAGGGAGAGAAAAAGAGGCAAAGGACAGAGTGATATGGAAGATATAGGAAAGGGTAGACAGACTTCTGGAGGAGAAGGAAAAGAAAGGGCATGCTTGCTTGTTTCTTTCATTTTATTTATTAGTTACTAATTCCATGGTCAGAAGAACTGCTGTTTCCCACACCTTGTAGATAAACTATCTGGATAACATTGTGACCCTAAGGTAGGCCTAACATTTGAGTTCTGCATTTTACATTTTGTTTCCCCCCCCCCCCCTTTTCTTTTTTGGTTTCAGCTTCTTTTTGGCCTTTTATTTTTCACTTTTGTTCCTTTCTCTTTCTTGGTGTTTTTGACTCTTGACTGTTTTCAGTCATTTATTTCATTACTTTCTATTTACTATTATACTTATTTCATTCTTCATCCATTCCTTATTTTATGTATTTTCTCTGCATTTGCATTGTCATGCATTTTTCTCATTTATTTCATTATTATTACTATTTTTCTTGTTTTCTACTTCAAGGACTAAACAGGATTACAGATTATTGTCAATTTTTCAAATTGCAACATGGCTCTTTCATGCAGGGGTCCTCATGGTCTACTAGCTTATGGTTGCCAGTTCCTTGCTGTCATCGTAGATCCAGTATCACTACAACATGTCCAATGTCTGGATAGACACAGATCACATGTCACACAGGTATGCCATTGCTGGAGTTTCACCTTCTCATTGGCCTTGGGGTCCTTACTTTGAAGTAGAGAATAGTTTTAGGTAATATCTTGATTTGTTGTAGGTGAGATGGCAGATGAATCAAAGGAACCAATCATTGAAGTCAAGGGGGATCCTTGCTTCTAGTGACATGAATGGGAGAGTCATAGTTTGGGATGTTGTTACAGGAGTCCCCAGGCACTCATTCAAGGAAGGAGATAAGCCAGTCCTTGGTAGGAATAGTTAATATCTGCAGCTGAAAATTCCTGTCATTTGAAGAGCTGTGCATAGGCCATAGCCTGCCCCATTTCACTGACATTCAAGCTGATGGTGCACTAATGCCAAGTTCTCTCTTTCAGATCTAAGATGGATTCCTAGTGGAAACAATGCAGAAAATTATCTAGCTGCTTTACATCCACCTTACTCTTTAGTGGTGTGGAATATGGAAACTGGAGGAAAGTTATGGAAGAAAGTCTATACAGAGCAGCTTCTCAGTTTTGGATTTGACCCATTTGATTCCACACGTATAGCATGTGAGGGAATTAATAAGCCTAGTCAAATTCTCTTGGCCTACTTGATGTTTTTATAAGAATATATTAACTCATTTTTGCATTTTGCAGTTCTCTGCCAAGACTCTGCCATCCTTTTGGTGGAGGATTTTACACTTGCCAAAGTTCCCTCTGGAAATGGAAGAAAATTTTCCATAGCAGCCTCTCATCATCCTTGTCTGTCCCCTTCAACTCCCACTTTTGACTCTGGTGAGAAAAAGCATCGGGCTTCTGTCATCTTGAAGCGAAAGATGTTAGAACTTGTGACAGGGGAATCCAAGCCACGGTGGGTGATTAAGCTTACTATTCTTAGTTATGGAAAGGAAGTTGGCATAAGCCTACTTAGATCACTATTACTAAATATTTTGAATTCTGTAGGGGCTCAGAAGATGGTGATAATGGAGAATGTATTCAAATATTATGGCATCAAAGCATTCGCCACTTTCTGCTCCTTGTATATCCCCGAGAGATCTTGGTCCTTGATCTTCTCCTCCATCTGACCATCAGTGTCATTCCAATTGAAGTTACATCATCATCTATAATGCAGGTAAGTTCATTTCAATATGTCCTGTCACTACAATCCTCTTCAAAATTCAAGAGGGTGTTAAACATATATGTTGACTGGCTTAATGGATAGATGATTATACTGCATTTCTATTATTTATGTATTGATGGCCTCTTCATGACATTAACCCCTTAGCTGTAGATTAATTTTCTACTCTCAGGTTTTTTTTTGAGAATGAAAAAATATCAATTTTTATTTTTACAATGTTATACTAGTTAGTGAAGTGATAAATTTCAATCCTTCTGCACCATCACTGTTTCTTCTTGGTCACAGTTTATTAGTTCTTTACTGTGTTGTAGGAGGGAAGCAGATGATGCTCATACATGGTTGAAAATGTTAAGGAGTTAATGCAGTTGATGGAAAGCCAATATTAAAGTAATCAATATTACAAAATCCAAAGAATTTAATTTTTTCTCATAGGCTACCCACTGTGTCCATGCCTATAGCAAATCCTTAAACAGATTTAGTATAGTACATTACATGCACACCTCAACCAATCAGGCAATGTTACATGCCCACCATCCTTCATCAAACACACTTAAGTCCTCCTTTCTTGGTAGGGTAGGTGATGCAAATTCCAACCCCCTTAAGCTCAAAATCTGCCCCCTCGCCCATAGTTTGAAATGATCTTCTTGGAGACCTATGCCAATCAAGAAGAAATTGTCCATTCACGTTTAGAGACCAAGCATTGGTGTAATTGGTTGAAAAATGCTGTTTTGTACTTCTGATTATGTTGAAAAATGTTGTGTGGGGGCAGACTTTATAGCAGGGTCAGAATTTGTATCATCCACCCTATAGCTCATCCAGAACTGTATTGTGGAGATGGCACTTAGGTATATACATCAGTACAATATCCTTAGACACACACATATATAGTCGACTTTGCATAACGGAATACAGTTTAATTAAATACTCTGTTTAATGGAATACGATTGCATGGTCCCAATTTACAGTATGATACAGCAGATAGTTTTTGTTATTGGAATACTCTGGATTATTGAATCAAATTCACTGGTCCTGGGAGTATTATGCGGAATATGCGGAGTTGGCTGTACTAGTGCCTTCTCTCTATTGCATTTTTGGATTAATTTTATACCCTTTTCCTACCTTCCCCCTGCACATGAAGCATTTTAAAATCCCCTCCCTTTATTCTTGGATCATCAAACAGTGAAGATAGGTGTCAACTCAGGAGTGGTAATCAGAATATCTTGAGTGTTGTTTTCATCTTCAGGACACTGTTGTGTGCATGTTCTCATGTATCAGGGTTTCTGCCCTCCACTGCATGATAGCGATTCTGTTTTTTTTTTTTCTACAAATATTAGCTGTCACTTTTCTTGTGCTTCCAATTGATGCAAAGATGTGGTCCCAATCCCACCCTCCTGCCTTGGGAGTCTCTCTTCCTCCTGGGGAAAGCAGGACTCCATGTGGCTGTGGATATGTGCTTGCATTTCATTCCCCTGGGGGTGATAATGCCATGATGAAAGGGATGGGAAAGCAGTGCACAAAGTATGGACAGGGAAGGCCTGAGAACACAAGATATGATATTGAAACCCTTCTAAAACCAAAGCCATTGGCAAATCATGGTTAAAGGGTAACCAATAGCAGAAGTGACAAAAGATATTTAGGTGTATGGCTGGATGATACAATGAACTAGAAGCTTCAAATGGCCAAAATAGCAGAAAAAGTAGAACTTGCCCATGGCATCTCATTCACAAAAGGACATTTTGTTCCTATATACATTAAAAGGCACCTGTACTATGCAATTATACAATCTCACATTAGATATTTTTTGCCAATATGGGGTGCTACCAATAAAACTAACATGAAAAAATTACAAGTCCAACAAAAAAAACTATACAAATTATGAATTACTTACCATAGAACAAATTCAAATGAGTAGTATTCATCATAGAGAATTCTAACTGACCATCAGCTAATATTGTTTTCCCTTTGCATACCTGGAACTGAAGAGTAATAATGTTAAATAAGAACCTGCTTCAGAACGATGCACATAACTTGGTGTGCTTCTAATCACAACCTAACCTTATTATAATCAAGAACAAACTTTGGGTATAGATCCATTCTTGCAACATCACTCAGAAAATGCAATTCTTGATAGCAACAGCAAGATAAAGTCATGCTGTCAAAGCTGTATTACAATTAAACAACCTGGGTGATCCAGGGTGGACTTTCAGGTTCTTTGAGGAGCCTTTAACTCTTTCGGTCCTATGGCCTTACCTGTATGGCCATAAGCAGCTAAGTATTTAAAAATCCAATACCAAAAAGGTTAAACTGATACCTTGTTTTGTCTTCTTTCCTTTCTATGTCTTTGGCCTTTTTTTAAATATTTGTTTACCTATGTTTATGCAATTCAAATGTTGTACTAATGCAATCAGAAAGGAAATCAATGGTATACATAAAAGAGGTGAATGAAGGAACAAAGTTAAATATTGATGTATCTCAACCTCCTGAGGAACCTTATTTATCATATCCTGCTGTCTTCCTTACTTTGGTATATCTTGGATACTTGCATTGTGGACATACCAGGTGTTGAACATAGATAGCCCCTTCTCCCCAACCTAAATTATAAGGGCTAGGAAAAAAATGTATATATCATGAGAAAGAGCATTCATTTTTTAATTTAAACATGTACTTCTAGTAATTTGTGTGAACCTTGGCCATGTATCTGACATTTTAAGATGAGCAGGGTAAGATGAAAAGAGACAAAGAGTTCGGTGTCATCTTCCATGTCCTTCAGCACTCTGGTGATATTGCTTTGCATGGCTTCTCAGGAGAATCCATGCTGCTTGCTGTCCATATGCATGAGAGTCTCAATTTGATCTTTCAGGATAACCTCAATGTTCTCATTCGCATTCAGATCAGGAAAGTTTCCCAGCAATTTTGCATTTCCAAAGAAGTCAATCCCTGAGTCTTTCAGCATTTGCTGTGTATGTGTTTTGAAAAAGAGCACATTATATGGCAGAAGTGGAACATTTAACCTTTTTCAAAACCCATGAATGGGTAACGAATTCAGCTCTGGCATTACAAGCTTCTCAAAACTTAATAGCATGGATGCGATCAATGAATATAAGTTTTTTAACATCATATCTATGTGCAACACCCAGTACAGAAAGATTATGACTTGATGACTACCAAATCAATCAATAGATGATGAAAAGATGAAGAGAAGGAATAAATCTGTTGGTTTTTACTGACACTCAAGACCCTCATTTCCTCACACTTCTTCTGTACCTAGCATATAAGAAAGGGTGAGTGCATGCTAAAGCAGGACTGGATATACATGATGGGGTTAAAGTGTATGCAAGGCATAAATATCCCACAGGGGATTATCATGTTAGGCCTGGCCTAGCCCCATACATCATCATTGCATCTCCTCATTCCAATGCACTAATCAGGTCCCCACCTCATGCAAAAACAAAGTTAAATATGACAAAACTATATATGATATTGGCTGTACACTGACTTCTGATAGCCAATACCAACTGGTGTCATTGTAGCAGCTTTAATTGTAAAGAACAAAACTTTGGAGTTGCTTTTCAACACTGACCATTCAACAATGGTCATTCTGTTTCAGGTGATACCATGTCGGGAGACTGATGCACTATATTGCTTGCATGAGTCAGGCAATGTCAGTTTTAGAGTTCATTCTTTGGGAAGATATCCGTCTGATCCTCATCAGAAGGTTCTCTTCTATGAACTCAGAGGCCAGTCAGAAGTGATTCGCAGCTCCAGAACACAGAAGCCCTTCTCCTGTGCTGTACATCCAATAAATGAAACTCAAGTCACCCTGCTGTTCTCCAATGGAGTGTTATTAGTTTCTGAACTGGCACATAAAAATTCCATGCCATCAAGAAACTCTCCTGTATCAATTCATGATATCAGCTGCAGCATTACAACCCACTCCAGCCCTGCCCTTGTGGTTGACAAGGTTTGATTTTCCAGCCTTTAAAATGCCTATCTTCCTTCTGAGCATTTTTGCAATTTGAATAAATTGATCTCCTTTGACAGACATGTCATCCATACCACATTGCACAAGTTGGAGTAGTAGCAGGAATTGCGTCGCCCATCATGGTGATTCGAATGTGTCCACCCATGACATACAAGAACTGGAAGGCCTACAGACCTTATCTGGCAGTGGGAACCCATCAAGGAAGTGTAGTGATAGTGAACGTGTCCACTGGGGTGTTAGAGAGAGAGTTCTCCATTCATCAGTCATGTGTTCGGTAAAGGTTCACTGTTAAAAGTAGTTTCTCCCTAAACTTGTTCATTAACACTAAAATGGGTTTTTCTTGGTGACTGCTTTCAGGGGTATTGAGTGGACTGGGTTAGATTCGTTCTTGTCATTTGCTTATGGATCTACCCTGCTGGAGTCTCCAAGCAGTGGAGTGTCCAGTAATGGTCTAGTTGACAATGAGTTGGTTCATGTCCAACTGGTCACTGGTGAAACTAGGTGTCTTCGAAGTGATGTTGGCCATGAAGAACCAATTCAAATGATTCGTGTTTCTCATCTCAAGTGAGATGTTCCTGGTTGTATCACCTTGCTCTTCATCCTGTGGATGCTACAGAAGACTCACTGAATGCTCTCTCTTTTTCCTCCTTGCAGGCTATATTTTGTGATAGCTTTCCGTGAAAAGGCCATGGAAATATGGAGCCTTGAATCTATGGTTCTACTAAAGCGCGTGAATAGCAAATTAAAGGGAATCACATCTTTAGTGAGGATTTCTGAGTATTTCTTTAGAGGGTAATAGAGGGTAGAGGGCAATGTTCTTGTGCTAAAAAATTTTTTTTGTCTTGACTTGAATTCTAGGAATGGTCTCCAATGCGCCTTGTTCTTCCCAGTGCCAGTAATAGTCACAAGGATGCTGCCAAGGATAATCCTGTTTCACCAGGTTTGCAATTATGTATCTTGAAGGTTGTGCTGACTGTTTAAAGTTTGAATATCTAGAGTAACCTTAATGGGAAGCAAAGTTGGATTTGTCAATAAAACTCAACCTGTAAATGCCTTCAAATTTCAATTGGTCATTCTTTGGAGAACAATTGCTTGTTTGGTTCATGGAAAAAAAAAGCTTTAAGTTGACCTTTGATGGAGAGAAAGTTATTCCAATGCATGAATTGGAAGGCTCAGATCTGATATCTTTATATCCTTAAGGGTGTTCTGCAGGAATTTGGATTGCTTTAAAATCCACAGACACATTGCATGTCATCCACAGGTACTACCTAGGGTGTTATAATGTTTTTATACCTGGAAAGCCTAATCACAAATCTACATACCACAGTAGGCCTACTCTATTTGAAAGGTGGAATTTATCATTCATTGTGTTGATCTTTTGCAAGGTTCTTTTCTTGACTTGAGAAGTGAAAGATGAAAGCCTGGAAGGGTATCTATTAAGAACAATCCTCCAGATTCTCATGGAATACCCTTTACTTCTTTCTCAGGTCCAGGAGAGGAACATTTTCTCTATACAGATGCTTCTGGTAATTTGTTGCTGGGTGGATTTGATCAAAAACGAATCCACTACAGAAATCTTGGAGATGATGTAAGCATCATTGTTCATGTCATTTACCTTTCCATCTGCAATCCTTCTTAGTGATTTGATTCCATTTTTTGTTTTAGCCAACATTGAAGAATGCTCATTGTATGGCATGGAAAAGCGAGTTTGTTGCCTGGGGTTTTGCTGATAGCAATCTTCTGGTTTATAACATTGAGTCTTCATCATTCGCAAGTTTTAACCTCTCCAAAGACATAACAGGACCAATCCGTCGTCTTCGTTTTGGACCGGGCAAGGGGAATTACCGTCTGTTGATCTTACATTCTGATAGTGTCACAATTTGGGACCTGGCACTGGTAAGCAAGTATCATCTTATGCTACAGTATGCAGATGACCTCTGGAGGCAAACTGTTTCTTCTGTATCCTGTAGAAGAAGGTCCTCTCTACCCTGAACTCTCCTCGAGACATGGTGCGTATACTAGATGTTGATTGGGCTACATCTGAGAAACCTGTCCTGTTGACTGCTGACAGCTGCATCCGCATTATGGACATCACACTTGAGTTTTCCACTTCTCCCCTTGGTGAATATATCTTCTCAGGTGTGCCTCACAATTTTCCAGCTTTTGTTGTACCCTTTTTTTTTAAAACCAATTTTTTTAAAGCCTTTTATGTTGAAGTCTTGTCATTGGACTCCACATGGCAAGCTAAATATTTTGTGCCACCCTGTACATAAGAGAAGTTAGTTTGCTTCCCCATCTTAGACATTCCTCCTGTCATCTACAGGGTGTTCCATAGCAGGTTGACTGCCATGGGGCATACTGGTGCGCCTCACAAAGTCCCTTTTCCTGCACCATGAGACGCACCGGTGCACCCCACCTCTTTTCCTTTGTTGTGCCTCATGCTTCACCCATGTGCCTCAGTGCTGCAGAGGTTTTGTGAGGTCATGGGACAGGAAAGTGAACTATGTTCATGGGCTGATCTTTCCTCAATTACATTTATCCTTACAGGGGGTTCTGAAAATGGCGAAGGGTTCTTTTACACATGAAGTAGACTTACAAAGAAATCAATTCAATCAATGTAGTATTTTCTTCATTCATTCTCTCTCGTCTCTCCTGGGACCTGTTTCATGGAATTTACAAGTTCTGCAAATTTCAAGTTACAATTACTTGCAAGGGTCATGTCTTTTTCTTCAACAATTCCTACTGGCACTGCTGGCCCTTTGCACAACTGCAACACAACCCTTGTAATTACTTGTAACTTGTGGAACTTGTAAATTCCATGTAACAGGCCCTTGATCCATCCTTACCATTTTGCATTTCACTGATTGCAAGAGAAGCAATAAACTGTGTCCAAAATTATAAAACCAGCACAAACCTGCAGAAATGCTTCCTACCACATGATCGGTGGTTCTACAATCTGGGGAAGTACTATAATGCATTACATCACAGACAGCTGCGAAACAAGCAGCATCAGAGGCGCTACACGTGCGAAATTCAATTCAAACAAGGTAAACTTACAGAATGGCCCCATATGGTGTTAAAACTTGTGAGGCCCACCAGTGGCCCTCCTGGTGTGATAAACCTAATTGCATTTCACACGCCATGAGGCACATCAGTGCGCCTCACTAAAAAGTCACCAAAATATCACTTAAAATTGCAAATAGTATGAGATGATCAAAGTATGTTGTTAAGGAGTCTCCTAGGAATATGAAAATGACTTTGGCGCAGGAAAGTTACCTGGTCAATATAGCCGTGGCAGTCAACCTGATAAAGTAACTTGGCATAACAATTCTTTTTCTCATCACCAACTGAATTTTAAAGCTGACATCGTCTTAAGGAGGATTAAATTCTTTATTCCAGAACACTATTAATATTTCTTTTCCTCCATCTCAGGTACCTGAAAAACTAATATTTTCACAACTGCCTAGAATGCTCAATTTGTTGCAAAGAATAAAGATCTCGCAGTACTTGGATTTTATAGGAAAAATAAAGTAAGATGTTCTTGAGGGTTTTATGAATTGAAGATGCCAGGTATCCAATTTCAAGAGCTACCTGTCTTATGGATTTCATGGGAGAACATATGAATCCCTCTGCCTCTGCAACATCTTGGAGCATTTCCTTGTTCTCCTGAAGTGATGGTCAACCTTGTTTCAGCTGGTCTTGAACTGATCCTGTCTCCTGAAACTTCCTGACAAGATGACTGGGCAAGAAGGCCCTTGAGATGTCTTGTAATGGTGTTTGAATCTTTTGTGTTTCTGCCACAGATTTTGACTCAAAATATCACTCTTTGGTCTTTATTCTTCACAACAAACTGAGCATTTTCAGCAGTTGTGAGAATATTAGTTTTTCAGGTATCTGAGATAGAGAAAAATGAATATTATTAGTGTTCCAGATTAGAGAGTTTAGTCCTCTTTAAGACTATGTCAATTCAGTTGGCAACAAGAAAAAAATGTGTTTTGTCAAGTTACTTTATGGACAGCCTGTATAAGAGCAAATTAGAATTCTGCACTAACAGGTCAGAAGTGAATATTTCAAAATATGGATTCTTCAGGAGCAGAAGATTAAAAAAAGTTCACATTAGCCAATGTCCAATGTACTTTCTCTTCTCTCTACCAATTCATGTAAGTTATTGGTGGTAGCAACTGTGAATTAGACTATGCTTATGCAGAGTTTTTGCAAAACATTGCTAATTTAAGAAATAAGTTCAATGTTGACTTGTCACATTCTTACCTATTGTCACAGAATAATAATTTCAAAGAACTGGAGATTGATATGGACCTATTATTTATTCCAATTCATCTGAAAAATCCACAGAAGTTTTTTAACTTTGAAGAACTAACATTTTTTCACCAAAAGTCAAGGAATTTTATAAATGTTCCTTCCATCAGAAAAAAATAAAGTGGAAACACCCATGAGGCTTGTTTACTCCTAGTGTGTTGCTTGAGGTGGAATCTTATAGATTTTCCAAGTCAAATATGGAAATAAGAAATTCTAATGCAACAAGGTAATTCAAATGTGTCCATGTGCTGGATGTTAGATTTAAAAAAAATATATGATAGACATGGAAAGTCAAATGTGACAGTCTCATCTCGTGCCTGTGCCAGGTGACTGTCTAATATAAAATTAATGAGGTTTTCCTACATTGCAGTTAATCTTTTTGGGAACTTTTGATGTCAGTTTGAACAGTACAATAAAGAAGTATGATGTCAAATGCAATTTGGAAATTCAAATCTGACATGGCAGTTAAAAGCAAGATGTGGAAAATCAAGTGAGATAGGCCTGCTGGACTTTCAAGGCATACATATCTCACAGAAGGAAGTCATTTGGAGCCCCTATCATGAAAGTAATGTATCAGCCAACTACATCATGATGTCATTCAATTCTAAACAATAGAGATGTATAATTGTTTATGAAGGAACCATTGATTACATTTCCCATGGGTGATTTAACTTAGCAAACTTAGGCATTGCACTTAAAAAAGGATGCCCCAAAATATTCCTCATCTTTCCTCCCCTTTCTTAAAGTTAAAATTTGGCATCCATCCTCCATTTTCTATTTGTAACCCATTCCTTAAACCAACCCTGATGCATTGATGACTGCCAATACAACTAAATGGAATGGCAGCTTGACAGCAAGTGTATTTGGAGTCAAGCGTCATGGAAATTCAACTCCCTGACAGTCACCTAGCATGGATGAGAGATAGGCTTTGACTTTCCTTATGACTAACATGCTTTAATTTACAGTCTAACATCTAACACAGTGGCTTATTTTAATTTCCTTGTCACATTGGACTTTCTTATTACCATATTTGACTTGGAAAAACCTATATAAGTGTAGACACTTGATATACTAAGTCATGACATATTTGCAGTATTTTTATTTCATCCTGTTCATCTAAATAATCTGCTTCTTTGATTCCTTTCTTTTTGCCATTTATTGCAATGATGATCAGATACTGTAGGTCAGTGGTGCACGACCTATTCCCCCTAGATGGTCAAATTGAGATTTTGGCTCATGTTTGAGGGGTTTGAGGTTCAAGGGTCGCAGGCACTCGAACATGAGCCGAAATAGGCCACAAAAAAGGTCTCTGCAGGCCGCATGCATCCTGTGGCCTGCAGGTTTGTGCATCACTGCTGTAAGTTAATGTGATTTCATTGTAATCCATGCTTTTCAGTGGACTGGAGAATTAAGTGTATACTGCTGGTACAATTCAATAGAAAAATCCTTCCTCTCTCATTTTGCAGTGATGCTCTTTTTCCAGCACTGTATCTATCTCAGTATCGGTTTTGATAATGAAATATTCTGGCTTAGTCCAGGAACCTGGAAAAATCAGCAAATATATATATATATTATTCTCAATATAAATCAGGGAATTAGAAATCATGTAGTGCTCATCCTATGTTGGCTTTGGTTTGAGAACCAGGGTGAACCTTTCCCTCAATACCTATTGTATTCTCCTTTCAGATCCTGTAAGTCACCCAGTCCTCCTTCCACCCAAATTGTACTTGGCCCTCGAGTCTCTTCTGCAGTTTCAAGCCTGGAGAGAGAAATACAGCTTTCAGTTGGAGCCATGTGAAGATGGTTTGCATGGGACACAGCTCAGTGGTAGGCTTTTTTTTTTTTTTTTACTCTGTTTCAAACAAGAATAATTTAACACCAGTCATTTTGCAGAATTTCTATTATTTGCAAGGGAGGAAGGTTCATTATCCTCTGGCCTAATGAGGGCACGATATTGGCTCTGATGGAAGTTTCTGTGGTGTGTAATCCACATTTGAGAATTTTCCATTTGAAATTCCTGCCTGTGCCATGTTAATACAGTCATCCCCCGACTTGCATCTTCTCAATTTATGTCGTTCCGCACTTACGTCGTTTGCCCCCAGACCCAATATATTAAGCCAAGTGCACAATTCGTACCTACATTGTATTACATTGCCCTTACGTCATCCATGAATTGGTATCTCAATTGCGAGTAGTCAGCAACACCATACTGTCTTGACTTACGTCGTCTCAACTAACGTCACCAGTCTTGGAACCAATTACGACATAACTTCCAGGAGAGACTGTACTTTTTTTTTCCCGAGGATAATGTGCATTTTCAGTGAATATCTAATTTCTCCTCCCTAGCAATTGCAGAAAAGTCTGCTCAGAAAAGTCTGCTCCTTATTCCACACATGTACCTGGTAATAATGTATGCTGTTACAGCTCTCCAAAGGCAGTTGAATTTACTGGATGAAGAAATTAAGACAAAGTTGAAAAATCCTGAAGCAAGCATTCCTGATCGGTGCCTTGTGGCTGCCAAATGCCTAGGAGACCTATGGGGCATAGATTTTTGGACTATTGTGAACTATTCACTTGCACGGGAGACCAAACCATTGGTTTGCATTTCTTGGCCCTTCAGCATGCATTGCAAAAGTTTGTTATTTTGTGAATGGGTTTCTGATACATTGGTGCTGAAATTCTAGGAGAAAGCTGAGAGAGGCATGTCCACATCCTATGATATCTTTCTTGAGAATGAACTATATAAGGTGAAAGAGTCTTGGAGTCTTGTCAATTAACAAAAAGGCTATTGAACTATGTATTGTTATTCATGAAATAAATATATTTATAGGAGCTGCAGTTGTTGCGCCTGAGTCTGGAAGAAACACGAGCTTTGGTCACAACAGAATATCTTGATCAAGTCATTAAGCAAGCCATAATACTGGGTGAAACTGAGAAGGCAATGCAGCTATTGCTCCATAGTGACCCCTTGCAAAAGGAATTCCATACAGATATGCTGAGGTGATATTTTTCCTTCATTATGCATTACAGTTCCAGCATGACTTGGTTTACATGTTTAATGTTTGATATTGTAGAGCATGTCTGATCTCTTCCTTGAAAGGAAATCCTGACTCGGAAGGAATAGTAAAATTGGCAGCTGCAAATCTCATAGCAAATGGATTACTCGGTGAAGGTCAGTTGGATAGTCAACATCCATTACAGTTTCCAAGTGTTGCAATTGCACTTTTATCTGCATTTGTTAGGAGTGGAGCTGCTGATCTTGGTTGGGAAGATTTTAGATGCATGTGACTACCTCAAGTCATCTGGAGAATGGGATCAAGCTGTTCGTGTGACTAAGTCAAACCTCTCTGATGTCAAGTCCAGAGACCTTCTTTGCAAATGGGCTGAATTTCTCAAAGCACAAATGTACAAGGTATGTGTAGCTTGACTTTAGTAGATTCAGTAGATTCTGCTAGACCTTGACATCTTCCTCTATTCTTGTTCTCTTGGCCAATTAGGACCGAGCTGTTTTGTTATATGTGTCTATTGGAGAGTGGGAGAAGGCCATTTCAGCTCTCCATGAGATGGGCCTGGATTCCAAGGCTGTTCTTCTTTATCTTGCATGCGCAAACATGAATGTGCTCAAATGCCCTGATGTTGACCTGGATGGTATGCTTTCATTTGATGAGCTTCTCTGTCAACTTTCTTACTTTAAGTAGTTGCCATCACTGTCTCTGCTGTCATGTGACAATGTTTTTCTTGATATATCTCCAATACAGGAGCTCTGAAGAAGTCAGTACTTGTTTCGTATGGCACATACCTTGAGGATCTCGGTTTAGCAGAGGCTGGGAAGTATTGCCTTGAAACTCTCCTTCAAGCAAAAGCATCATGAAGAAATGCAGCCTGAACTTCATTTCTTTGTTCAAACCTCATCTTTGAGCATAATCATTCTCAGAACGAGAGCCAATTCCGTCAATAGTATTTTTTGACGAAATCACAATATTGTGATTTTTTGTTTTTTTTGTTTTTCCAGAGAAAATCAATAAATATATATTCTTTTGCTTCTATTGTAGAACTTTATATTCACAAACCCTGACCGTTACCTTTGGTGGTTATTGAGAAACAATGCTGCATCAAGGATATTCTGATAGGAGGGACTAACCCCATAGGGTATGCAAATAGCGAGTCTAGAACAACCAACCCCCACCCCCACCTCTGCTGGGGGTATCCCTGACGGGAAGAGTGGCTACCCACATGCCTTGGTGCGTTTTTGTCATTCTTTCCCAATGGCAATATACTTCGGAATTTAAACGCTAAGGGTGTGTGTAAAGGCCTATTACTTAGCTTGAAACTTAAGTTGATGGTCCTGAGGTGTCTCATTCTCCCTCAGTGTTATGTCCATTTTCAGTTAGAAATTAAACAAATGAAGAAAAGAACAAAAACTGTCCGGCCTTTATTCAAGATGGAATGTGAAGGGGAAATGTCAACATGAATAAGTACGGAAAGATTGCACAAAATAATGGCTGAATTTAGGGTTAAGTTTCATAGAGTCAGACAGGTGGAGTCCGGAGTTCATGCATGACCCCATCTATGGCTGAATCGTCTTGAGCGAAGGCCACGTTCGTGTGTGATTGAGATTCCTGTAGGTTCTGCCCATTTCCTTCCTCTAACGCTTCTTCGTTGGGATCTGTAAAAAGGGAACTATTCCTCGGCAAAAAGAAAAGAGAACAAGGGGAGGATGTTGCAAGGGAAATCTTTTTATGCACGTACCCTCTCTAAGAGTCGGGAGAGGAGTGCAAGAACCGGTCGGAGTTCTCTTATGGCGCTGAAAGAATCTTCTGATGGATTGACTGTAGCTGAGGCTTTGACTCCTCCTGACTGGTGAAAGTAAGGACCAACTCTGTCGTGAAAAATGAGTTTTTTTCTTAAACAGGCATCTGTATCATCTTCGTATATAGTTCGTGTCCCTGAATTGTTTATTGTTGGAACACAAATGTCAGTTTTGAATGGATCATTCTCACCCTGGTTACATTGGCTTTGTACCCGGCTGGTTCAGAGATAGCGTGCTTGAGGCGAGGCCGGGACTCCGGTGCCACAAGGGGATCCGTGTCTTCCACGCCACACTCGGTCAAATTTTGAGCGGAATTGACCGGCTCCATCTTCGGAAGTACATCTTCATTGTAAGGCAAGCATTCAGGGAACATCTGGTCCCAGTATTGATCTTTCGTCAGTTCAGGATGTTCCTCATGCATCCCGTCCACGATCATGTAAGATACCTGACGCAACAGGAGAAACGAGATTGCAAGCAATTCCACAACCAAGTGCTATTTTACAAAAGAAGGATCCACGGGTCCGTACCTTAACATGGCGGTCGATGAGCCAGTTAAGATCGAAATCATCGTCATCCTCGCCGAAGGGGTTGATGAGAGTCTCGGCCACCTTCAGCCATCCCATGTAGAACAAAAATTGGCATATGGTGAAGACAGGAACGTAGATATCCAACGGAAGATTCTCGTGGTTTATGAACTGCCTGCCGAAGAGACACGACGCGAAGAACGAATATGCCGCCAGTGTCACCACCTACAATTAGAAAAAAACATCGAAATGGGGAAATCCTTCGCAACTGCAGTCGAACAAATCCGTCTCTCCCTCTCGGGATTGGATCGAGACCTGAGAATAGACGAGGGGGACATTGATGAGGTCGATGTGGAGGGATCGGCCACATCTTCGACGGTATTCGACGATGTGGTCAAGGATTCCCCGAAGAGCCATGTCGTCCCTGATCTTGCCTTCCCTCCTGGCTTTCGTCGCTAGTGTCGCTGCCCATACTAACGGCATCCAGTAGATCTTCTTCACACTCTTCGACATTTTATCCAGGATCGGCAACTCGTTCTCTTCCAACAAACCTTTAATCACAGGAGCATGCGGATCGTTGAATTAAAATGGTCTCTTTTTGATAAGTGAAATAAGTAAAGAAAAGAAGACAACAATGAGTGATATATGTGAATATTATCCCTCTAGAGTCTAAATGAAACACTGACGATTAATGACTCAAAATGCCTGTAAGGGAAAGCAATTCAGCCTGTACGATAGAGTTGGTTGATATATTTTTTCCATTTGCTTATGGTCTGATGTGGTAGCTATTGCAAAGATGAATCCTAGCAGAGTATCTTGAGATCTATGAACCAGGAGAGACCAACTGGTTTTTTGGCACACCTCTTTAAATATAGTCTGGATCACCTTTGTGGTGACGAAATTAAATATTCAACATGTTTACGGAAAAGAAAACTACAATGGCCTATTTCAAAACGGCAGTTCAGTTGCAGTTCGGTTCTAGTTTCCTTTCAGACTTTGATCTGACAGAAATTCCATTATGCTCTTGTCGTCTTCTATAACAAAGAAATCCCCGCTGCAACTGGAACTGAACTGATATTGGACTGCAGTTTTGAAATCAGCCACTGGATGAGTTCAAATTCAGTTAGCGTAGGCGTGGACCCAGTTGAGTTACACTGGCACAAGGGATAACACCAAGTTTGAACTCACATCCTGGTGCCAGTGTTTACGCCTCGTGTTGGTGTTTAAAGAAAAGTAACACAAGACTGACTTCACAGGAGTTAATCCGAGTTGGGAGTTTAGGGATAGCATACCGAGAAGTATGCTATCCCTATACTTCTGCACTGGTGTTGACATTAATCGTCAAAGGCTAACGCCTGCTTCAGTTCAAAGCGCATATGAAGTTTATCAAGATAGCCATGTTCTTTCTCCCAGCGCTGGGCTATGCATGACACGCCGCAGCTTTTCTCTGAGTCTACCTCTACTCGAATATCCCTGGATGAAGCCTGAAAAACTAGACACGGAGTGCAGCGTGGGGTTCATGCTCCTTAATCATCCTCATTGGGCTTGGTTCATATCACGTGATGACTTAAGCCGACGTCGCCGTGTACTTTTGCAGAGAGGGCTGTGGGCTGCCTTTTAACTTCAATCAAAAAATGAAATTATGGTGCAAGCTTTCAAAAAGCTTTTCTACGGGTGAATGTTGCCGCTGATACTAGGATTTAACCGCTGGTGTTGGCTCTGAAGCAGGTTCAGAAAAGTATGAGTAAAGTTCAGTGTAAGAGAAAATAAACACTAACAGAAACACGAAGTGTGACATGAAACATTTATTTCGACTTTGAACTCAACAAAACCAATGCTTCTCAATTGAATTTGACCTTTTTAAAACTCGAATCCAACACACTCAAGGTAGCCTGAGCTGCAAGTTGCCACTTTCATGAAAACAAGTTCGTAATCAATCGAAAACCAACCGTAGGACTCAAGAAAATAGTCGTACTCAACTGAAAGCATGATTTTCTCTTTAATATTTCGATTTCGAAGTAAATTCAAAAGTGATTTTCACACACAGGGTTATTCGTAAAACGCTTGACCTGTGCTTGTCATTGCTGTGCCATTGTCATAGCTAGAAAATATGGCCAGTCATTCCGATGGTTCGACAAGGACCTTTGCAGTAGGATCTGCTGCTCATTGGCCACGAGGTGCCCCCACTGCTGCAATGTGGACGGTGCACAGTTCATCCACTACCACTAGCGCGATGAGGGTACCGGTCAAGCAACTTAAGGATCACCCTGTACATGTCGCGCGTATTTATGGAGGCTGGAAAAGGACCCGAAGTTGCGCTAATTCCTTTCCGATTTACTTCGAGTGATTCTGATACGCCATCCAGTATCTCGGAATGAGTGGAAGAGGGAAGCAGGAACCTCTACCTGGTGACAAGCAAAGCTTACATCCGGCACTGTCCACAGACTCCTTAAGTTGAAATGCCGGTTAACTTTTGCCTTTCTTGCATACCGATGGTGTTCAAGGACAACCAGCCCAAGATCGTATCACGACTGCAAGTGCCAGATCCAAAATATGATCGCTTTGTTTTTCAAGATCGTAAATAAACGGTTATCCGAACAATAAACAGTTCGACTTTTAAGCTTATACAGCATCATGCATGCATAAAAGCAGATTTTGTTACTCCTTACCGGCAGTGACGAGGTGTTGAAGAGTAGGAAATCGTTTTTGGACGGGGACGGAGATTAAACTGAAGGCATGGACCATCGCTAGGTTCATGTATCGCATGATGGTCCGCCTCATCGTCTTCGACCTTTCGTCCTTGAAGAGTAAAACAAATCCCTTATATAATAACTCCGCCACATATGCAGCTTAATGTAAAAGCGACAAGCTCAGATCCTCCTCCTTGTTATCTGATGCTTCCCTTTACGAGGTCGTTCTCTCATGAAACGCGATCGGCCCAGGATTTTTATTATTATTATACGTGGTTGCATCGGTGAAGCTTCCACTGTATAAAACAGGCAAATGTTTGGTATTTACCTGAAAAGTTTTGCGAGACTCCCAAGAATGGAGGGAGAACCATCCCTCTGTAGCGACAAATTAAATATCAAATAGCCTTCGCACAGTAAGTCAGGCACTTTCCCCTTTCGAAAGACCCTTAAAATAGACTTTGGATATCTCATAGTCAATGCTGCAAAAATTTTAGTATTTTCCTGCCACCCACCTTCCAAGACAAAAAAAAAAACGAATCTTTTTTTCAAATTTCCAGTTAAGTTTTCTTCACCCCAGATGGAGGACCTTTCTATGCATGAAGCCTGAACACTTGAAGAGTTGACAGTAAAGAACATACAGTTGTTGGAAAGAGGATATGCTTGCCTGTCCCTCTAAATACACTGTGACAAAGACGGCGGTGTTGTCAGGCCAGGGAAGGGCATCCCAGTGCTGCCACCAGCGATTTACGACTGTCGTCACGTAGAAACCCATGAGGAACGTCAAGGGGATGAACTCGCTGAACTTATGGCAGTAGATCGCGATCTTCTCGAACACCCTGTGGAAGGATTATCATCTAGGTTCTAGGGAAACTATTATGCGCGAAAGAAGGTCGAACGGAAGAGGACAAAACACATACTTCCTCTGGTCTTCATCTAGCCCTACTCGATAAACAATGCTGATGATGTAGTATAATATCAGCCAGACGAGGAGGTCGGGCCACACTAGTTTATAAACGCTCCCCTTCCATCTGCATAAGGGAGCATCGTTGATTGTTTAACGATCGAGAACGTAATAACGGACCAAATGACCCTCAAGGACGGAGACTCACTTGAACAGCAGCCTCCAGAAGCAACCGAATTTGCTACTGGTGGCTACCACGTTGTTGTACGTGACGGGCATCGTAGGACAGGAGTGGCTCACAGAGAAGAAGGATTAACACTGGAAGAACCCATTCCGATGCCGCAGAGATCTTCGTTGTATGACCCACGTACTCATTCGTGAGCGCGGCTTGTCTCACATGCAGATTGCCTGGAGCGCCGCCCCTCTCTGCTTCATACAATAGAACGCTCCATGGGTTCAGTTCATCCCATCCACGCTCTCGATAGAAATCCGGGAGAAGAACTCTCTACTCTAAAGAATTCCGATAACTATCCCTGGGGGGCAACTGCGGGTACAGGAAAGAGCGGGGAGCGAGGATAATCACGTAGTCCAGTCCAAGGTCAGGCTCCCTTTTCACGCATGTCATGGTCTCTCGTTTTGTTTCGCGGGGTATTGATCGAGGACACCAGTCCAGGCTCTCTCAATGATGTGCATACGTAATGAAAAGACCCGGTTCTCGAAAAAAATGTTTTCTCTTTTTATGTTCATAAAACAGGATTCGACGGGAACTGACAAAGAACTTGATGAACAACGGGGAGCACAAGTCCAAAAGTGGGCCTTCCTTCAAGGGAAAAGGAGTGGAGTGTGGAGATACGCGTGAATGGAGGAGTGATCGCGATAGTCGTAATTGGGAACACTACTCTATGTCGAGGTTGTGGTAAAATTGGAAGTTTCCAATGCATCTCTCACCCTCAGAGTCACATGGAGGTCCGGGTGGAAGCGTGAAATTAGTGCAACAGTGCAACTTTATGCATAGTTTGAGTAATTTCGCAGTCTACGTCGCTATAAGGCCCAGCATCTGAAGCCAAAATTTCTCGAACATTAGAAGCCATTGGGCTTCAGTGTAGCGTAGAGGAATCGGCGTGTTAGTGTCCAGGCAAGCAGGAGCATGCCAAAAATGGAATCAGTTTTGTTTCAGTCCAAGGACCAAAGCACTCGTGATTACAAGAGGAGGGAGAGGGGAAGAACTCATCTTGACAAGGGTCATGGGTGGGTCATATCGTTCGAGGTTGGAAAATTCAGTTCACGTCCTTCCTCTCAATGCTGCAATATTTCGTGTCCAATAGATGCACCAGCTTCGTCTTCCACGTTGTCACTGTCGGTGTTCTAAGGGTGAAAGATGTCCTTAGCTCTCTCCCCCCTCTCTTTTTCCATCGAAGGTCAACTACAGTAATCCGGGCCTGAAGTTGGTCCGTGTGTACTTGAACTCATGGAAAGTTTCATTGCCTTGCAGTTTAGTTTCTTGTTTCCCGTATCGTCGAAGAACAAAAGGGACAACAGACTAATATACCGACAGAACGAGGATATACGTGGTAACTGACGTGTTTTCCCCTTGAGAGAAGGCCCACTGAAACTGGGAACCATCCACGGTGAGAGGAGTCGAGAGCAAATGTTACAACCGACTTTCGAGAAGAAAGTCCTTCTCGTCAGGGTCCAACTCGGGAATACTAGTGTTTGTCTGCAGAATTAGGGGTGGTGGTGGTGGTGGTTCAGCGTCAGAGGGGTCTTCAGCAAGGTGCCCCCGCATTATCCGCATCAGGGTCGTGCCTTGCAGCACAGCTGGGTCGTTTGGCAGCCGTCCCTTGTCCTCGCCGCTCTGCCCCTGTTGAGGATCAAGTTCTGTATTATTTTTCATTCATCTTTCACCACTTTACTCAATTACCTGTACATGTATGTGATCATCTCTATGGAAACTTAATCGATTGAGGCTTTTATTATTTTAAATCCTACAAGCTGCGTGAACTGTATGACCATCGCTGCTTGACATACACTTAGCACATCGACTCCGCTTACAGAAGGGCGACGAAAATAGACCCCCTCATCTTTACCTTACGCAACATATGTTCTGATCGAGATTCTACGCTTGATTCGATCCCTCACCTTGGAAGTTATGTCCATGTCCATTTTATGGGCGAAGGCTAAAAGCAAAGGTTTAGGGGCTAATGACTTATTGAAGAGCCAAGGAAACATTTCCTCCCAAGTATAGCGCTTGAAGTCTCTGTTCAGTCCGTTTCCCATCACGTGTGAAACCTGTATGAAATCAACATCAGTTTAGGAATTCAAACTCTTTGACCCTATTTTAATTTGCTACAATAACTCACGTTGATGTGACGATCAATAAGCCAATTGAGATCGAAATCATCGTCATTTTCGCCGTATGGATTGATGAGGGATTCGGCCACTTTCAGCCAACCGACATAGAGGACCAACTGAAAAGGCAATACTGTGATATACCACATATTTGGGTGCATAACACCCAATTGGATGCCCTCATCCATTAATGCTCTTTGGGTGCTCCTCGAGGATTATCAGTAAGTGCGAAGCACTCTTAGGGTTATTACAAGTAGTGGTTTGACTCTAAGTAGAGACCCCTGCTGTTAGACTGATGTCTTTTTCTTTCAGTTGGGAGAGCGCAGAAGAATCAGGTTTTCTGATGCATCCCAAAGATCCATAATAAAAAAAACATGGAACCTGTTCTTGCTTTTCGCCATAGAACGAAATAATGAGGAACGTGCGTTCTTAGCCATCGCCACATTTCGGCGTGAAAGACAATAAAAATCATGCAGTTTGCGGAGGAGGTATAAAATAGCAACGATTAGTAATTTTAAAAAAAGGAAAACTGGTGACGCCTTTAACTCACTCCTGAAAGCATGCCTTTCCAAAAGAAGAAGAAAAAGAAAGCGGTGGAAGCAAAGAAAGGAGTAAGCGTTCGCTCGAACAGATCCCGAGCCTCAAGGCTATCTTGAGCTTCTTGGCTCCTGTTTCAAACATTCCCTATGACCCTCTCCCATACCCCATCTTGCTAGAACACCAGTTTAATCAATCATATGAGAGCCATATGTAGCTCTCCCTCGAAAGGGGCTCAGGATTCCGGGCGATTTTCTCTTACCCTGTCTGGGGTGTCACCTCTGTTTTTTTTTTTGTTGGGGGAGGGGGCTAGTATACAGTATTCACATACCTGTCACCGTCGCGGAACAAGGGCAAGACTTGTAAGCAATATTTCATTATCTCGTTCTTCATCTCACTTTATGGATCACCCCTTACCCCTCGTCAAGCCATAGTTCTCTGGGTATGTTTTTTAATAATGAAACATGTAGACGCATAGAGGGTTTAAAAATAAACACTCAAATCCTTTTGCATGGGAGATAGATAACATTCACTTCCATGGAGAAAAAAATCAGACCAGGCCTCATTCTGACAAATACCTACTTTCTTTAAAGTGGAACAAATCTTGAGAATTAAGCAGAGAAGATGCTATCTGACGAACAGTTTGATTTTATCTGTGAATCATCGATAAATGTGGGATTTGCCTTTCGAATCCAGGCTCATCCTCAAATAATATGGATTAGTATGACCTATATGTGAATGATACGACATTGACTCGAGATTTTGATGTGAGAGTACAAAGATTCACACAAAGAAAGACTCTTAGCTCATTACACTTCTTGTTGGATGCTGGACTAAACTTTTACTGAACATTGCATAGCCATTGCATCTGAATTATTGGAGCACTGCACGCCCCCCATCCTCTTCCCACCGAAGTACCCGCTCAGCATACTGTTCTTCCAGAAGCACAACATTAAAAAACATGATTTTATGATTACTTCATGATAAATTATGATAATTTTAACACTACGTCAATATGATCCCTTTATATTGGTGAATATCATGCTGGACACCTTGAAAGATTTAGGTCCCGTGCTGAAGCAAAGAAGTAGGGACGTCATCATTCCACCACTAAATCCCCCCCCCCCCACAACAACAAAAAAAAACCTCCATTGGAGTAAAAAGTAGCAAAATTATATGTTGATATGTCATCTGCGCTCGGAATAACGGCAGGAGCTCATCGCCTTTGGTGTCATAGGGCCTATAAGGCGAAATTTCCCTTTCGTCTCCTCCTGGCCTTCCTAAACACAATAGACATTCAAGTAAGGACTGAACATTCGTGGTACCACAATGGTGAATGTGCCTCTCTTATCGAACGAAATTTCATCGCAGAATTCCATCTACGTGTGGAGTCGGGACCACCGATTACACCACAAGTTCAGCGAGACCGACGCTGTAGGTGTGTTGCGCTTCTCTCCGAAGAAGAAGCGAGTGTACCCTACCGAGGACCAGTCCTTCGTAGGCCTTCACTACTCCTTCCCGTTTTGGTAGCTGACGTCGCTGGAGGACCTCCTAGGGTAGCATTACTTTGTAAAGACGTATCGGAAAGAGGTGAGGTTGGATGGATTGCGACCAATGAGGACTTCTAAACCATTCGAGGCGATTATGAAGAGAAGGGGTACTTGATTTCGATATGCAGCATTTTCTGACAATCATGAAATCCCACAAGCAGAGTTCATACAAGACTTAAATGTAATAACCCCTAGGGAAACGGTGATAATTTCCGCAAAGAAAAAGGATGGAGCTTTTTTTCACACCTTATCTGCGTTTCGATGTAGCTAGGGCTCACCTGAAACAGTGTAATAACTGGTACATATATGTCAATAACTTTTTCAGTGTCAGAGTCGATGAACTGACTTCCCAGCAATGCAGCACTGTAGAAACTGTAACAGGCAATAGTCACCACCTGAGGAGAAAGTGTTAGAGAGGATGAAGGAAGGCTTGACAAAAAAAAGGCATAGCTACTATAATGAGAACCTACCTGGGAGTACACGAGAGGGACTTGGATGTAGTCCACGTGATGGCAGACGGAGCAAGCCCGGCGAAAAGCGGACAAGGTATCCAGAATCGATCGAAGTCCCATGTCGGAACCGATGAGTTGTTCCTCCCGGGCTTTCTGCAGTATGGAAGCTGCCCACATGTGAGGGACCCAAAACATGGAACGCATATTTTTCCCTACCATCGCCTGCATCATCAGTCGTTCTCCTTCTTCCATTAGCCCTATTACCTCCTTCTGGTTCTCCATCCTCTCACTCTTTGATCATCTTCATCTCCCTTCACGCTTCCCTTGGGCCAGTATCACATTCTTCTCTCTTCTCCCCTCCTCCCCTCCCCTCTACCTTTTCTTCACTCCCTCACATGACCCAACTGTATGCGACCATTGAAATATAGCAACATGTACAACACGCTCTCATTCGCCTGGTTACTATTCTCCCCCCCACCCCCCCTTCTCCCCTCCTCTGTCTCTCCTGCCGTCTTTCACCCATCTTTCTCCCACCTCTCGATCAACCCTGATCTGACCCAATGCAACCATGCCGACAGTGACGTAATCTTGGAAGAGACGTTTCGCTTAGGCTCACATTAAATAGGTATCTTATATCTTCAGAGTGACTCGCCATGACCAATCGCATTTACAATTGTCAATCAATGCTGACCACCGACTACTACCTCCCCAAAAGACTCGAAATTGAACATTAAAGAGAAAAGTCACCCATTCCCTGCTGAAGACATGTGAGCTAGCTGGAGGTAGCCGGGCTGCATCCAGGGGCCGTGTCATAGTTCCAAATTGTAATTGGATGCGCTGACACCCTTATGTAAGTTTATGTCGCATAATAGATACCAACACGATCATGTTACATCCGTTCCCTAACTACACAGATCAAGTAAAACTTGATCAACACGATCTTATTTCCTACCCGCACAGACTAAAATTTGGTGCTTAACCTGGGAGAATTACTTTATAGGTCCAAGAGAAAGATGTCACCATTCTTATCTGGAATTCGTAATTGGAGGTTACCAAGGAAATTGTCATGAATTTCTTGAACTCGCCCACTTTCCACCCTTTCATACACCTTCTCATGGGGCAGGTCCAATTGTATCTTCGAACGTGCACCTCTTCGTAGCTTTCAGAGGTGGGCAGTATTTAAAATTCGTATTTCAATACATTTGAGGTATTTTGTATTTTGTATTTCAATACATATCACTAAATGTATTTGTATTTTATATTTGAAATACAATTCTCTGCATGGATTAAAAAAAATTTCATTTAACAAGATACAAAATACTTTTTAATTGGTTCTTTGCAACTCCCAACATGGTTAACTCAGATGGCTTGCCTTCTTTATTGGATGGCAAGTTCTTCAGCATTGTCGAACGAGAGCACCAGATGGTCAAGGCCAAATGTACTGCATGCGCTGCAGAAAAAGTGATCAGTGGAACTCTCACTGCAAACTCCAACTTCTTCACACATTTGAAGGTAGATTGTGTTGCAATATCTTGGTGTGAATATGTTGACAGGCTATCCTTGACTTGAGGAATTAGTTATCCTTGACTTATATAGGTAATAGTAATAGGTTATCCGTAATAAGAATAGGTCAATAATAATAGGTAATAATAGGTTATTCTGGACTTAATAAAAAGTTTTTAATTTGTGATATATTAGCCTAGCCTTGTGCTAGCCTGAATCTTGCTAATGATGGTTAATACTTCTGTTCTTTGCTTTCAGAGAGAATATGAACGCTATAAAGGGGAGCAGTCTGGGGTGCGGAAAGGAAGACAAAAAGAAAGTCATGCTCAGCCAGCAAAGAAAGCACGTCTTCAACAGACAACCATTGAGACCTCTCTCCAAGCTGGTTCCAGATGTGCCGATCAACTCATCACAAAATTCGTTGTGAAAGGATTGCATCCACTCTCCATTGTAGAGGAGCTAGCTTTCAGAGCAATGATAACAGGTCAGGTGATTTTCATAGCAAAGCCCTTATGAATTTTATAATGGTAATTAAACCTTGTTTGTGGTAGGTAGGTGGGTTCTGAGGGTAGGTATCAAATTTGTAAGATAAGTTATGCCAATTAAGTTTTTCCTTCAGGTCTGAATCCAAGAGTTACTGTGATGTCCAGAAGAACTTTGGGACGACGAGTGGATGACTTGCACAAAGTCATGCTCTTTGACATCAAGGAAAAGCTCCAAAGAGCAAAGTATGTTTGCACCACTGCTGATTTGTGGTCATCATCCAGGAGAAGTTCAATGGGTGTTACTGCACACTGGGTCAGTGCTTGTTGCTCTTATTTGAATCCTTTTGCGCTAGGCTGATGTAAACCTAAGTTTTTATTTACACAGGTCACAGAAGATTTAGAAAGGGAATCAGTTGCATTGGCTTGCCGGCGATTTAAGGGCAATCATTCATTTGACAAGATTGCAGAGCTTCTTGGAGAGATACATGCTGAATATGATCTCCCTTTGGAGAAAATCATGAAGACAATCACTGACAATGGATCAAATTTTGTGAAAGCCTTTTCTGAGTTTCAATCTACATCAAGTTCTGATCCTGTTGAGAAGGACTCTCTCTTTTTCACAGAAGTTGACTTCATTCTTTCCAGCGTTTCAACTGTCGATAGTGACAGTTCAAGTGCTACCTTGTCTCTTCCCCCTCATCAACGTTGTGCCAGCTACACATTAAGCTTCATTGCAACTACAGATGCCAAAAAAAAAACAACCAAAGACTCTCCTTCATATGGGAGACTGTACCATTCTTCCACTGCTAAATGTTTTGCCTTATGGAATCTCATATCCAGGTCCTCAAAAGCTGCAGAGACATTCCACCGCATTTGTGGCAAGATGCTCCTGACATCATGCCCAACGAGATGGAACTCTTTGTACGACAGTATTATATCTCTTCCGAAAGAGAGATCTAAGTTGCTGGAGCTCTTTGAACCTTTGACTTTGCCTCAATTCAAGGATTTTGAACTGGATTTCCTTGAAGAGTTCATATTTTGTGTGAAACCAATTGCAATTGGTTTGGTTCGTATGCAGGGGGAAAAGTGTTGCTTCCTGGGAGAGCTGATTCCAACTCTAATTACTATGGAGATGTTGATTGAAATGCAAGCAAAGAGATATACTCATTGTGGGCCACTAGTGAAGGTCCTCCTGGTTGGACTCCAGGAGCGATTTCACTCCTCACTCAATCTCTCTGCAGAGATGAATGATTCTGTGCTGGCATCAGTGACTCATCCATTCTTCAAGACCATATGGGTGCTTCAAGACAAGACCGATTATGTACGAGATCTGCTTCTGCAAGAAGCAACAGTGTATCAAGGACAGTCTAGGTTAAGTCCTGTCAAAGGTGATGGTGAACAGGAAGAAGAGTTTTTCAGGTTTGAGGAAAGAAGGCCACGGAAGGAGAGTGGGGAGAATCTTCCCAATCTTGAGTGTCTTACATACTTGGAGGACAAGGAAACAAGCATCAACATGGTGTGGAAATATCCATTGATTAAGCAGCTGTTCATCAAGTACAATGCTTCCATCCCGTCATCAGAGACTTTTCTCCTATTCAGGGATGATTTTAACCCCAAAAAGATCGTTAAGTGATGAAAGATTTGAGAAACATGTATTGTTGAAGGCCAAGAATCGGAACTTTTAGGTTTCAGATCTTTTGCGAAAAAAAAACTGGAAAATTAAACTAGAAAATTATTGTATTTCGCAATTTCAACTATATTTTTTAAATACATATTTGTATTTTGTATTTGAAGTACATTTTTTCTCAGGTATTTGTATTTTGTATTTAAATATTCAATCACTAGTATTTTGCCCAGCTCTGGTAGCTTTCCGTTGCATTCGACCCCTTCCATATGACGTCGTGCAATGACTGCTGTAATGTAATGTCTGTAATGAATGCCAAAATTCACCATTCCGAGAAAAAACTGAGCGCTCTCCCCGAGCTTGAGTAGATATTGCCCTATCTTTCCTCGCTTATTACATTAAATTCCGCGAACAGATCACAATTTCCTTATGGTTAGAAACTCCATTGTCACACTCATCACATTCATTCAGGTCATGAGGAAGAGAGTGAGAAAAGTGTAAGAGTTGTGAGGACTATACTGTATGAAGGCGGAAATGGACAAACGTGGAGCGGTTGAGTATGGGAATGAAAAAGCAAGAAGACGTAAGGAAACGACTCGGCAAAGCATGAAGGGATGGAGGAGCTTAACCTTTTCCATGGTAGCGTCTCCATTTGGTGACACTATTTGAAATTCATTCAAAACTTGTAACAGCAGGTGCGGCAATGATTTAAGGGAAAACATTTGTCCAATTGAAAGAGTGAACTGTCATCCAGTCTGAGATGTAACAAAAAGCCTCAGTTTCATGCAAGTTTCGGCTTGAGTTCAATGCATCACTGACCACTCCCATATTAATTTGCCATGTAAAGGGTTAAGATTCCTGCCATCTGGATCGGATGCAAGACCAAGCATGGAGGGGCGCTATATGCTCTGGAGAGAAGAAAATGTATTCTTTCACTTTCCTAACAAAAGCAGTTGAAGTATTTTCATCCTTAGGAAATTCTCCCCCGGATTTTTTAAATATTGGAATCAGAAGAAATTCCAGTGGAGAAATAACCCGGTAAAATAGGTAATTTGAGGCTTACTTAAATGGTATGCAAATGAAAGTAGTGTTTAAAATGCTAAGGAGCCTCAAAATGATGAGTTCTTTAAGTTTTTACGACTTAGAAGTCAATGCTTTTGGTCTATGAGTGTGCTCTTTTCTACGTTCACCAGAAAATGCAGCATGTTTTTTGCATGCGATCATGCATTGAAAAATGACGAAAGTATTGTGACGGCCAGAAACGGCAATGAAGATAATTTTCAGCTTTTCCGTTCAGACACACTCATCTGGGGAATCCCGAGGGCTTTCGTGGAACATCCAACTCATTTGATGATAAGCGGCACTACTGCGTGACTTTTTCCCCATGCTTTTCCGGGTTGAAAGTGAAGCTAAATGAATGTACCATTACATTTCACTTTCGCTTTCATGCTGACCTGGAGTCCTACCATCTTCAATTTTCTACATCATCTACTCGATTTCACACATTGTGCAGCGACGTAAAAATTAGGGGTCGCAAGTCGTTGGGTTTCATGAAAGGGATTCGTGAACCCAAAATGTATGAGAATTAGATAGAGACAGGAATGCTGGCGTAAGCGTCTTCGGTATTTAACGCACGCATTTTTGAAATGAAACCTTCAGCACCAACCTTC